AGCCCAGCCCGGCCCCAAACCTGCTGAGACTGCATTCCGAGGACCCACTGGCCTAGCCCTGCTCTGCGCATCTGATGTTTTTTCCTGCTGTTTCAGGCAACTTGGGCCAAATTCCCCATGCAGCTCGCTGGGCAGGTCATGAGCTCTCATGTGGAGGTGCAGGGTCCAGCCCCTCTCTGGCAGAAAGAATGAGCCTGATTAGTCTCCGGGCAGGACTGGGGGAGATGACTAAGCTTGGTGTAGGCTGTCTGCCCTTTGCAGTTTGCCTCTTTCCTCCTGGGCCCAGCCTGCTCTTGCCTTACCAGCTCTGACCCTGCTCCCCACAGAGAGCACACGCTCTCGGGCCTCCAGGGCTCACCCACGCTGCTCTCTTGGCTTGGCTCACCCCTGCTCCCTCCCCTCTGCTCAGACCCGCTCAGCAGACCTCCAGCAGCATCAGTCCTCTGCCACAGCTCTTCCAGCACTGGCTGCCTCTGCCCATTTCCTTTGGCTGGATTCCTACAGTTGTTCACGGTCTGCCTCCCGCCCCTGCCCCTGTGCTTCTGACTTTTATTATGGATTTCCTTATGTATAATTGCAGCCCTCATAAGGCACAGAGCAGAACCTGTCACTCTCCCAGGATATGGCCAGGGGCTGGCGCCTGGGCTTCTCTTCCTCTGTAGGGAAGCCTCTCTCTCCCTCACCTCCTAGTTAACCACTCACTCAGGGGTCTCTTCTTCCTGCAAGCTACCATCTGGAGGCCAAGCCCGGCTGGGCTGGTAGATGCTCTCCTCCGGCTTTCCTGCACTGTCCTTCCAGCACCTAACCTCATCACACACTTGACTATGAAGGTGTTTGAGCTCTGCCTCCTGAGCCCCATGATAAGCCTCCAAATGGTAGATCATGGTTGCCCTACTAACATGCTGTCCCTGGTGTGCAGCTCCTACTGAACTGGCACTGATGGGAAGCCGGAGCGCAGGGGCCTCCACTCAGTTTACTGTTAAATCTTCAGAGCATCGGAAAGGTGCTCAGAAATGGGAGTTGCCCCAGCCCAGTGTGGTTGAGAATTACTGGCCCCTGAGCTACCTCAGCATTTGGCCTGCAGTGAGAGCAAGCGCCTAGACCAGGTGTCTACAGACTGTGACTTCAGTGTCCCTTTTGGGTGGAACTCACGTAGGGAGCAGGGACTCTGTCTTCCCTCCTTACAGCCCCACCACCCTCTGTCCCTGTCCCCATGACACCCAGGCAATGCCAGCCTTTGCTTGGTGCTGGCAACCTCGGAGCCTGGTGATGACTCTCAGGTGCAGGGGGAGTGCTGAGGCTCCCTGGCACTAGGAAACAGGAGCCCAGATGAGACTGGGAACAAGGGGAAAGATCATGCGCAGTAGCTCATTGTCACTGGAGGCAGCAGGACTCAGGTGCCCATCGGTCCATCACAGGCCAGCTCTCTGGTGAGCACCCACCACCTCTAGTTTTCAAGTATGTGGACGTTATGCAGTAGGCACAGAGGCAGTGGGGATGCCTGCCTTCCAGAGTCAAGAGGCCCAGAGCCTCCCATGTGGTCTGGACACATCCCCTCTCCACCCTGAGCCTGTATGGTGGGGTGACACCTACTGGAAAGGCTCTGTGGGATTAAATTGAGGTCATGTGGGCAAAATGACCATGCCGGTGCTAGGCGCATAGTAGGCCCTCAGCTATGCTGGCACGTAGTAGGCCTTCAGCTATGCTGGCTCCCTTCCCCCCTCCTGTGACTGCCATTAATCCATCTGCCCAGCTGGTGCCCTCACTGCTTCATGCCATGGGTGAAATCTGGGACTGTGGGTGACTGGAACAAAAAAAGTCCCTGGAGGTAAGTGCTGGCCCAGGGGAGCTCACGGAACTTGGGCCTTCATCCAGCTTCCCATCTTAAGTGGGGATAATGACCTCTAACTCATGTTCCCAGTCAGGGATGGTCCAGAGCCCTGTCCGCTGGGCAGAGATGCCTCAAGAACAAGTGCTCAGTGGCATGCTTGACCGGACCACTGAGCCTGGCTCTGGGGGGCTACTGATGGTCTGCACAGAGCATGGCACTTGATTTGCAATGCCCATCCTGGGAGCTGACTGACATGCACTTGCAGCTGCGCAGGCACAGCAGGTCTCAGGTTCAAGGCTGAGCTCCACCACTCACCCACTCCATGGACCTGGGAAGCTGCTAACATTTCTGAGCCTCCACCACCACATCAGTAAAATGGGAGTCATTCCAGAGGCCTCAAAAGCAAATCACACCTCCTCTAGGCAATTCCTGACCACAAGTCTTTCCCTGAACACATCCCTCTCCCCCAATCTCTTCTCCTCCTTCCCAGTTCCCTCTCCTCACACAAGCTGGAGGTGACGTCTTCACCCTCAGGCTGGCATAGCATTCCCCACGGTCTAGTTTCTCCTTTGTACACAGCCATCCTAGGCCATGTTATTATTTTGAGAGAAGCACCAGATCCACCCAGACAGACCCCCACATTCACACCGACGAAGCTGCTAGGAAGACTGGGGACACTGTAAGGTGTTATTGTCTAAGGTGGTTTTCTTATTTCCTGCTGGAAACCAAACTATAATCCTGGGCTTCTTGTAAGTATGAACCACCTAAGTCATCAGCAAGTGGCTCAGAGCACCATGTGGAACTCTGCTATGAAATAAAGACGACCTATCTCTACTTCCTCCGGCAGTCAGCACAAAGTTGGCATTGCACAAACACTTATTGAGCACCTACCATGGGCTGGGTTCTTGGTTAGGAGTTGAGGGTATAACTGGGAAGGAGACAGGCCAATGGTGGGGTGGGGGTAGGGACACCCTGCAGAAAGTAGAGTATGGTCAGGAAGGTGAACATCACACAAAGGACTACAGGGTCACAGAGCAAGGGGCAAGCCCCACTTGACCTTGGCCAGGCTGCCTTTCTTCTTAGGCCTTATCAAGTGAAGGTTGGAGCTGATCAGCTTCACTGTGATACACCAGGGAGCCTTTTCCCCAAAGTCGCAGGCCCAAGCTTGAAGGACTTAGCAGAAAAGGTTTGAAATATCTAGCAAAAAATCAAACCAAAAGACAAAAACCTCCACAGGCAAAGAGATTATTCAGAGTTGCTCAGATGTCTGTTTTTTTTTAAAATTAAAGTATCATTGATACACAATCTTTTTTTTTATTAAGGTATCATTGATATACACTCTTATGAAGGTTTGTGGTTACTACATTCACCCATGTTATAGTCTCCCCCCTCTACACCCCATTGCAGTCACTGTCCATTAGTGTAGTAAGATGCCACAGAGTCACTACTTGTCTTCTCTGTGCTATACTGCCTTTCCCATGCCCCCCACTACATTATGTGTGTTAATCATACTGCCCCTTAATCCCCTTCTCCTGCCCTCTCCACCCCAACCCCTTCCCTTTGGCAACCGCTAGTCCCTTCTTGAAGTCTGAGTCTGCTGCTGTTTTGTTCCTTCAGTTTTGCTTTGTTGTTATACTCCACAAATGAGTGAAATCATTTGGTACTTGTCTTTCTCCGCCTGGCTTATTTCACTGAGCATAATACCCTCTAGCTCCATCCATGTTGTGAGATTTCTTTTCTTTTTATGACTAATATTCCATTGTGTATATGTGCCACATCTTCTTTATCTATTCATCTACTGATGGACACTTAGGTTGCTTCCATATCTTGGCTATTGTAAATAGTGCTGCGATAAACATAGGGGTACATATGTCTTTTTTAATCTGGGATCTTGTTTGCTTCAGGTAAATTCCTAGGAGTAGAATGGTATTTCTATTTTTAGTGTTTTGAGGAACCTCCATATGCTTTCCACAATGGTTGAAGTGTGGGAGGGTTCCCCTTTCTCCACACCCTTGCCAGCATTTGTTGTTTCTTGTCTTTTGGATGTTGCCATCCTAACTGGTGTGAGGTGATATCTCATTGTGGTTTTAATTTGTGTTTCCCTGAAGACCTCTGTGTTTTTAAATTTGTGAATATGATAGAGAAATTGCCAAGTGCTTTGGCTGGATTTGCTTGAGAGTCCATCTTACCTTAGGCCAGCTATGGCTCTGTGGCCACCTTGCTTTCAGGCTTGTTCCCACTAGAGTCTCTCGGAGAGGAAGATGTCCTTCCAGAGCCAGCAGGCCTAACTGATACCATGTAAGATGGCCTTGGTGGGTGGGGCCATGGGGTGAGGGCCCCTGACACAATCCATTGTGCCCATGAAGGCTCATTTAGGCAGGTCCTGTGTTGGACACCTGGCAGGGGTCAACGGGCCCTGGCACAATCTCACCCTAGGTCTCCAGCCACCAAGGCCAGCAAGCAGCCCAAGGCGGTTCACAGAAGTGCAGTGGGATTTTCTTATTGCAAATGCCTGGGCCCTCTCCATACATGGTCAGAACGTACAGTTCTTGGGCACAGATTTTTGCTTTGGAAAATGTGTCCAGGCAGTTACTTCTCTTCATAGTGACTGGGAAGGAAAAAGAGCTGTGCAGAGGGGAAAGAGTGAGGGTCCCACTGGAGAGAGGGCAGCTCTGAGCCTTGCTGCCAGCTGCGGGTGAGGCCACAGAAGCGCTGCAGAGTCTGGGCTGGGGACAGATTTTAGGCTTTAGGATTTGTAGATGAAAACTCAGCACTAGTTTCTACATCAAAATAAAGGGGTAACTTCTGGAGTCTGATACTTGACTTAAAGGCAAAAAAGAGTAAAGAAACTGTGGTCTAGAAAAAAACCCTGGCAGTCAACAGGCAGTCTAAGGACACGGGGAGGAGAGGTCATGCCATCAGCAGAGGCGCCCGGCTACCCTCTGAATGAAAGGGGAAGGTCTACTCCAGAAGTGCCCCTTCCTGTCACTTAGATTCAAAGCAGCCCTCCTTCGGGGCGGGCAGCCCTGAGGACAGCCTCCTACCCTCAGACCCACAGACGCAGCTCCAAGAGAGGAAAAGGGCGCGGGCGCGTGGGTCCCGGCCGGGGTTCCGAAGGCGCCAGAAGGGCGCGATGGCGAGAGCTGGTCTCGGCGCAGCCGCGGGCAGAACTGGGAGCTGGTCTCACCGAGAGTCTGGACGGGGAGGACGCGCACGGTAGATCACCCAGCGCAAAGGAGAAGCTCCAGCTTATGAACGGTTACAGCAGTGGTGACCCGAGGAGTCCACGGTGGGGAGTTTGGGGACCTAGTGATTGATGGTTATCATTCTCACGGAAAGGTGATCGCCCACGAAGAGTACAAAGCGTGTGACGCTGTCACACCGAGGTGGCTTTGTCCTGCTCCCTGCAGAAGGTGGAACCAGGAGGTAGGACCCGGGAGTCAAGCCCTCTCCCCAGCCCCAGCCCAGCACGTCCCCAGGTGAGTTGGGGCGGTGCCGGTGCGGGGTCCCCTGCGAGCTCTGCTGGCCGGGCGCGGGCTGGGCGGGGCGCGGGGCGGCCCCGGCTCCTCCTTCCCCAGCCTTAGCTGCCCGACTCTTAACCCGCGCGCTGGTGCCCCAGCCACTAGGCTCCGCCAAGCGAGCGAGCGAGCGGTCAGCGGGGAGCCGCGTGCGTCCCGTCCCGAGGCGACGCCAGCAGCCGGCATGGCCCCCGCAGCGGCATCGGGTGGCAGCAGCCTGCCCAGCGGCTTCTCGGTCTTCACCACCTTCCCGGACCTGCTCTTCATTTTGGAGTTTGTGAGTGGTTCGCGTGCCCCGCGCGGTGCCCGGGATGGGTGGTGCTGCGCTCGCGGGGGCTCAGTCGGCCGCCGCTGAGACTCGCAAGCTGCACGGGTCCCCCGAGTGCCGGGGTAGCGGCGCCAGAGCGGGAAAGCCTCTCTCCTCCGACCCCCAATCGTTTGGCGACTTCTGGTCTCCAGGACTTAAGTGTAAAAGCCAAGTGCGCAACATGGGTCAGATACCTACAAGCGCGTCAGGGTCTCTTCGCTGCGCGCTGGCTCCAACGCAGCGCGCGGAGGACGCCCTTGCTGGAGAGCGACGTCCCTGTAGAGATGCCCAGCTTGTTCCAGGGTTAGAATTAGGATTTAAAAAGACAAATCAGTAAAAGAAACCTGAGTACTATCACCAAGCGTGGTTGGGAGGTTGGGTTGGTGAGGTAGGAGGCACTGAATCCGGATTATTCTCTTCTGGCTGTTCAAAGTTTCTGGGGAGTATTTGCGACAACCTTGATCTGGAAATAGTAACACAAGCCATCATTTTCTCGCCGCAGTCATTGCACCCCGTCTGTGGGGCAGGAGGAAGGGAGAGGGACTGGTGGGGACGAGGGTCCCGAGCCCCGGCTGACCTTGAGCGGTCGGACCCCCCCTTGCACTGGCCGTGGGTCCTCCTTACACTGGAGCCGCACAGCCCCCGCTGCGGGAAAGCTCTGCCTGCCCTGGGCTCCTGGTAAAGGGCTCACGTGGAGGGGCTTCAGACGGCCCTCAGCCTCAACCCTTCGGGAGCCACAGGTCCTTACCTGGGAGGGAGCCGCTGTATTTATCCTGTGGTTGCGGGTGCTACAGCCACGGAGACTTCCTGCACCCCTGCCAGACGTGGCTGCCTGGAGAGTTGGTTGGAAAAGAAAATGTCCAGACCTGCCTGTTGAAAAACAGACTCCAGCTCCTTACTGTCTGCTTGGAGGTGAGAGGGTGTGTACAGCAAAAGGAAGGCTCTGTTATCCATCGAGGGTTTCGGGGAAAAAGTGCGAAGGGTGCTGAGTTTGCCTGGTTGGCACCATTATCACTGGACTTGTGAGAGTTGAGTTGAGCCCAACGTGGGTGTATCCAGAGTGCCTTTAAATCCTGAAACTAGTTAGAATCAAGGAGGTAACACCTAGATGAAACCCTGACACCCCTAAGCCCTAAGCCCAGCCCTACCATTTATACATAGGGACACCCAGGCCAAGTGGGGAGGCGCTTGCATCTACTGGAACATTCTTTCCCCAAGTGGTTCATCTCAGTGCTTCTGTTCAGCACTTAGCCTGTTCTTGCCCCACGCTGGAGGAAATAAGTAATGGGTGGCTCATTCCTACAGGGGCAGCTGTTATTTACAAAGGCAGAGTTTCAGGACCAAGAGATGATGGCTGATGTTGTGATGGGACAGAGATTTTAAGTAAAAGTTCTTCTAGTGTCTCTTAAATTGTCCTGATGAGTGGCTCACTCTGCCTTTGTAGATGTTTGGGGACCCTCTAACAAGAATCATGAGAGTGTGTGTTAGCTGGGCTTCATGCAGAAGGCTCTGGTGCACCCTCTTCCTCTTGCCCTGACAGCATGTTCAGGTGGTGGCAGGTGGTGGCAGTGGGGACCTGGTTTCACAGAAGGGATGGCCTCCCAGCGCCTCTGCCTCCTCTCGGTGTCACAGCTGAGGGGAGGGGAGGGAGTGCCCCGAGGGTAGAACGGCCCAGTCTGGCAGGGCAGTCTGCCCTGGACAGGACAGGAGGATCCCCAAATCCACCAAGAAAAAATAGAATGTCGGGTGTAGGAAATCTCGGAACCATGAATCAGTAGAAATTTACTCCTCCGGGGCGGTTTTGTGACCTGCTGTAGTACGGGATAGTAGGGGCTTCTGGAAGAAATAATTCTCCCTTGCTTCCCTTTCATCTGCCTTAGAAGTGATTTTTTCTCCTCCACCTCAGCCCCTGCTCCCCCTAACACCACCCCTGCCCTCACCCCTAGATGCCTTGGATGTCTCACTTCTCCTTTCTGAATCTCTTTCTTCCTCTCTAGATTGGGGATGGACTCACAGGGTGCTTGGGAGAGCAGAAAATAAAGCAAGTAGCAGTCCTTTAAGTTTTCCTCTGCAAGACTATGTAAGATTGTATATACGAAGCTTTATGTGTCTTGATGTATGGAAAGAGTGAGAATTAAAAGGTCCTGGTTTGCTTTTTTTTTTTAAATTATGGACAATAAAACTTAACAACAAGAAGACACACAACCCAGTTAGAAAATGGGCAAAGGACTTGGATAGACATTTCTCCAAAGAAGATACACAAATGTCTAGGAAGCACATGAAAGATGCTCGACATCATTAGTCATGGAAATGCAAATCAAAGCCACAATGACATTACCATTTCACATGAAATTAGGATGATTTTTATCAAAAAACTGAAAAATAGCAAGTAGTGGCCAGGATGTGGAGAAATTGGAAACCTCCTACAATGCTGGTAGGAATGTAAAATGGTGCTGTGGAAAACAGTTTGGTGGTTCCTCAAAACATGACCATATGACCCAGCAAGTCTACACCTGGGTTTATAACCAGAAGAACTGAAAGCAGTGACTGGAACAGGTACATGGACATGTGTGTTCATAGGAGCACTGTTCACAGTCCAACAGGTAGCAACAGTCCAAATGTCCATCAGTAGATGAATGTATGACAAATTGTGATATATCCATGCAGTGGAGTATCATTCAGCCATAGAAAGGACCGAATGATTCTTACTCCGAAGTTGAGAAACCTTGAAAACACTATGCTAAGTAAAAGAAACCAGCCACAAAAAGTCACATATTGCAGCATTCCATTTTTATAAAATGCCCAGAATAGGTACATCACCAGAGATGGAACACAGACTGGTGGCTTGCCAGGGGCTGAGAGGAGGAGAATTGGGGCACACTGTTTAATGGACTTGGGCCTTCCTTCTGGGGAATGAAAATGTGGAATTAGCTAGAGATGGTGGTTGCACAACATTGTGAATGGATTATGTGCCAGTGACCTAGTCAATTTTAAATGGTTACTTTTATGTTATGTGAACTTCAACTTTTAAAATAAAAAAAGAAATATTTAAATATGGAGAAGGATATATAATACTTTAAGAGACACACACTTATTGTCACTCAACTTTATCAAATTTTCATATTTCGCCTTGTTTGCTTTTAGTATGAAGGATATAAAGCTTTTCAGATGGCATCTAAGGTTTCTGGATATTCCACTATTACCTGATCCTCTTCCCTCCCTCTTCATGATGACCCCAGGCTAACTGGTGTTCATTATTCCCAACCAGGGTTTAGACCTTTGCCGCACACCTAACTATCTGTGAACTATCTAGGAACTGCACATGGCATTGTTTTATATGTTTTCACACTTTATGAAAATAGTGTCATCCTTTACATATCCTTTTGCAACACATTTTTCATACAACCTTGTTTTGAGTTTACACGTGTTGACACCATTTTATCTGTTCTTCTGTTGGTGGACATTTTGGCCATTTCCAGTTTGTTGTTTTTTGCTATTGCAGATAGCATTGCCAAAAAGTCTCATACTTGCCTCTTCAGTTGTATGTTGGGAATTCCTTCCAAGAACCCAGGGAGGGCTTGACTTGCTGGCTCATAGGAATGCATATCTTCATTTTCCAGATGTTCCCTCATTGTTATCCACAAGGGTTATTCCAGTTTACACACTCCAGGAGCAGTTACTGGGAAGCTAATGAGGCTTAATCAAGCTCAGGACCCCACTTGCTCACGCCCCTTCCAAGACCCTGCTTTCCTTCATTCATATTTTATAAAGAAGGTTCTCAAATTGTCTAAGCTTCAGGCCAGACCTGGGCCTTCTCATGTCCCACCAGCAGTATGAAAGCCTCCATTGCCTGTCATCCTTGTTACACTTGGTAGTATCTTGGTCATTTTGTAGGCTTTAAAATTTTCTACTAGTCCGATGGGTGTGAAATGCCTGATTGTTTTTCAAGTAGGTGAGTTGTTGTTAACTCACAGTGCATATCCCCATGCCTGACCTCCCTATAGCCTGGGAGTTGCCCATGTCAAACCTTCAGGCCCCAGGGCCAACAGGTGGAGCTCCACGGCCCTGTCATGCAGGGAAACTTCCTGCAGGGCAGGGAAGGGCAGCACCTCAGGGGGGCACGGCCCAGCACCTTACCCCAGAGCTCCTGACCTCGGAAAGCTGCCAGGCCCACCCAGACGGTGTGATCCTGCTTTGGACCACCGCCAGAGCCACAAGGGCCAGGCCACTATTGCATCAGGGGATCACCAGACGAGCCCCCACAGGATGGCACTTCCAGTGTGTCCCCCAACAACTCAGCTCAGGGCTCTGCTTCTGGTCTTCTCCCCCATCCCCACCCAAGGGGGACTTTTCCCTTTGGAGCCACAGTCTCTTTTTCCCTCTTCCCTCATCCCTTCAGATACAGAATCACAAGCTAGGGGTGTCATGACACTTGGGCACCATCCCCAGAACAGGGTGTTAACGTGAGATGCTTTTTGTGCCATTCTGGCCAGGGCCTCAAGAGGAAATTTCTCTCACAAGTGCCAGGAGAGAACCCCTCACCCCACCTTTCAGAACTTGTGAAGGAAATGCCTGAAAGCAAGTTATGAAACCATGAACTCAGCTCCCTCCTCCCCAGCCTATAAAAGAGTTGGAGCCTGACAAAACGCCCGGGAATTCAGAGAGAACTCTTTTCTTTGAAGAGGTTGCTCAGAGTGCCACCCACCTCTCCAGGGGATGGCCGCCCCCTTCCTACATGCACACCCCAGGAGCTTGGGGGGCACAGAGGAGTCGGGTGAGCTGCTGAGAGCCAACACCCATAGGGTGCACTTGGGGGAATGTTCTGCACAGCCTTGGGGATGGGCTGGCTTTGTTCTGGCTCAGGCACATTCTCTGAGGGCCAGGCAGGGGCTGGGGACGCTACCTGGAGCCTGCCTTAAGGTGGGACGGAGCACCTTCAAGCTTTCCAGTAGTGTGGGATCTGTTTGCAG